CCAGGTGTATAGATTGATGTTAACTTATTAAGTTACTTATTATAAAGCTAGAAAAAGATTCATTTTTTTTACCCCAGTATGTAAACAAAGTTGAAACGTTTATTTTTACATAACCCGAATCGTATAGATAACAATGTATCTAAAACGCATCATGAACAATAGAATACAAACGTAGCATTGTTGATAATACATCTAGTGAAATGGTAGAGTTTTACTGTGTATAACGAATTTGCAAACACTCACTACTACGTTGCTGCCCGACATCCTGCAGTCATTGTTCCCTCTAAGCTGCGCGGCCGCACAACAATCAATGAAGCGAATTTGAAAATCAACCAAGTGGCGCGTAATTCATTATTCCAGCCGCGCGCATACTTAGTAATGGTGAGGAGTCTCAACACGTTGATGGCCTTAATGACCCTGGCAGTCGATAGGCCTGAAGCCCAACTGGCCTAATGATCGAATAGAGTCGATGGTCTAAATATAACCCCCTCCCCTCCTAAAAAACAAAAAAATAAACTGGTAGCGCACATCCACACATTGCTTTGACACTGGTGCACATGAAAAAATTCATTCCGCACATGTATTGAAAAAATTAGAGGGAACATTGCTTGCGATATCAATTCTAAGTAGTTCTCAACAAGTTGAAATACAATTTACTTGAATACTTTTCAGTTATTCACTGCTTTTCAATAATATGATGACTAGTTTTAGTAACGATGGAAAAAGACTAGACAACTTATTTCGAGAAATGGATAGTAGTAGTTAATGCTTGTTCAGAGGTTTACGATAAAATAACCAATGTGAAAACATTCCTGGATGTATAATGTTCTAAGTAACAAAAATGTGATAAAACTTGAGCAATAGTTAATGTTGGTGCATCATCTTGTTAAATTAGTCTGTTTAAAAAAGACATGGACGTGTATTTTTACATAAATCTTATGTTTGCGATTTTATTAAAAAAATATTAGTAAGAACTCGCATTAATAAAAAATAATATATTTATTTTTACAGGCAAATCTGTCCCTTTTGTGGAGTTGACTGTAGCTCACGGGTCCATCCTCACCATCCTGGCCATCAGCTTTGAACGTTACTATGCTATCTGTAAACCACTAAAGGCCGGCTACAAGTGTACCAAGATGAGGGCTCTTGTCATCATAGTTGTTGTGTGGGTGGTGTCTATCCTCATCACCAGTCCTATTCTAGCCATTGCCGAGTACACGTACGTTGAATACGTTGATGGCTCGACTGTTCCCGTGTGTTTGACACTGGTCCAAACGTTTTGGCAGCGACTGTACTTTATCTCAATTATTGCCATATTCTTTGGAATCCCCTTCTTTATATTGGTCACTGTATACTCTTTCATTGCCAAACACCTGATGATAGACGGGGGAGTAGTGTCATCGAACACAGAACAGTCACAAGCCAAAGCACGTCGTCAAGTCGTAATGATGCTAGTGGCTGTTGTTCTAAGTTTCTTTTTATGTCTTCTTCCATTCCGTGTGTTTACTTTGTGGATTATTGTGGCTGACCCAACGGACGTCCAAAAGCTAGGAATGGAAGTCTACTACAATCTGCTCTATTTCTGCCGGCTTATGCTGTATACTAATTCTGCTATCAACCCTATTCTTTACAACCTTATATCTTCCAAGTTCCGCGACGCTTTTCTCAGATCACTGGGTTGTAGGAAAAGTCGGCGACTTCTCCGACAGGTGACCTTCACTCCCACCTCCCTAACACTTCAGAGCAGCCTGAAGAGTCGTTCAAGCCACTCCAGTGGAACCTACAGCACAGTTATTCAATCCCGAACTTTCGTAGCCAAGGGTTTAAACAAGCTATTGTAAATATTAACACAATGAGTTTTATAAGTATAGATTCTCAAGATTATGCCTTAGCTGCTTTGATATCTGAAAAACGATCTCAGTAGAATCCTCCAGACTAACTTTTATTAAGTACCTTTTGTTTTAATTAGAGACTTGAAAGTTTACACTATTGAGCTTCAATAATATTGAAGTTTAGAGCCAGTGACTTGCAGCAATGTATTTACTTTAAAATTGTATGTTTTTGCTTCTAAAGAAGTAACCGTAAAATGGATATTCCAAATGACTTCAAACGCTTAGACCCTCAGCAACCACGTACTACAACCAAAACATTCCGACCCACAAAAAGACCAAAGTGTCAAAGCTTGTAAATTATTTAGGGTGGGAAATAAAACAAATGTGAGATATATAAATAATGTCGATTAATATTATTTTCTCAAAAGTATTGCTCTCATGTTATTGTACTTTACTTAACGGTTGAAGTTGTTCACGTGTCTTAGTACCTAGCTGTGATGAGAATAACCAAGGGATGTGCATGTTTATCACACGTGGAGTATATTCATGCAGTTGTATTAAGTTAAAGTTGTGTGTACATTTGATTAGAATCACCTGCTTCATTACGTTATTAAACCCACAAAACGTAAGTTTCAATGTGCACGTGAGCAGGTTCTACCTTCGAGTATGTTTGTATAAACGTGTGTGTGTGTGTGTGTGTGTATTGTAATACCGTTATCGTCCTGGCTGTCAACTTATTGTCATAACAGATAATAACACCCAAATGCGTTGGGGATATCCCATCTATAAGACAAAATCCAAACGCCGATGTCAATCTAGGCAACCGTCATGGAAAATCATTAAAAAAAATCAATCAAATAAGGGTACGAAGCCGAGTACTTACACCCACAACGTCTCAACTTCTACTACCTTTCACTGTCTATAGCCAGTTGTGGGAAGATAGTTACCCTTAAACTTCTTAAAGTAGAAATGAGTTGAAATTAAGCCATCCTAATATTTCTACTGATTAAACTCCCAACTTTCACCCTTACAAAAACATATTAAATAGAACTACAAGATATTGAATAGAACAAAATAGAACTACAAGATATTGAATAGAACAAAATATAACTATAAAATATTGAATAGAACCAAATAGAACTATAAAATATTGAATAGAACTACACGATATTGAATTGAACAAAATAGAACTACAAGATATTGAATAGAACGAAATAGAACTACAAGATTTTGAATAGAACAAAATAGAACTACAAGATTTTGAATAAAACAAAATAGAACTATAAAATATTGAATAGAACCAAATAGAACTATAAAATATTGAATAGAACTACACGATATTGAATAGAACAAAATAAAACTACAAGATATTGAATAGAACAAAATAGAACTACAATATATTGAATAGAACAAAATAGAACTATAAAATATTGAATAGAACCAAATAGAACTATAAAATATTGAATAGAACTACAAGATATTAAATAGATTGGATTTTGTCTGATAGATGGGATATCACCAACGTATTTGGGTGTTATTATCCGTTATGACAATAAGTTGACAACCAGGACGATAACGGTATTCAATTCATTGTTGTTTTCTATTAATGATTTAATTGCCTGTTAACAATTAATGTAATCAGTAGTTTCTATTATATATACAGGGTGGGCCAAAAGTAGGGTTACAGTTACTCTATTATTT